TTTTGTGTGGGTTTGGGGTACTCTCTTCACCATTCTGGGAGGGGGCTCTGTCTCCCCAACCCCAGAAGATCACAAGACCCACGAAGACCATGAAGACTGTGGGGACACCAGGGCTGGTGCCTTTATTGGGGTGGGACAGGGCTGTCCCCCCACCCACAATTTGCAGCAGTCACTGCTCCCCTCCATACCCCCCACTTGGGAGATGTGGGGTGTTTCTTACCCATTTGAGGACATCTCTGCCCCATTTGAAGGAGGTTTCTGATCCATTTGGGGGCGGCATTTAGGATGGGGGGGCTCAGCCTGATTTTGATGGGAGTCTCTGACACATGGGAAGGAAACCATGAGACCCAGTGAGACCACCAAGGCTGGTGGATTTATTCTGGGGGATGTCACACAGCAGGGAGGTTCCCTCCAGGATCCTGACTGGGGGATTGGGTGTCACAAGTGTATTTTCTACTACACAGCCTGCTGAAGCTCCCCTGGTCCTGAAGCCTTTCTCAGACAGCTCCATTCTCTAAATGCCAGAACATTCCTGCCCAAAGAGCTGAAACAGCTGGAGGAACAGCAAAGCACTCTGACCAAAGGCTGTGGTTTATGTACCCCAGCCTCAGTGGCTGCACACTTGCTGCCCCAGCCCATCCCTTCCTGCAGCCTGTCTTAATCCTTGGATCCCTTGTACTCCTGAGTACAGCCTAGATGCTGCAGCTCCCAGGTAATCCCATCTCCCTTCCTCTGACACTGACCCTGAGCCCAGCAGAGGGATACAGAACAGGCAGGAAAGAGGAAAAAAAATAGAGAAAGGAAGCCTGATAAAGTAGACATGGCAACTTGAAAATGCAAAGTCAGGAGAGAACTGAAAGCAGGCACAGAAATCTACAGTACCAGTGTATATGTATAAATAAAATTTTACAGACAATGGATTAAGAGAGGAAAATAGACAGCAAGCTATATTAAAGTATACAGAAAATACAAATTTTTAAAGTTAAGGAACTAAGAGAGGAATGAATTAAAAACTGTCAACAGTGAACTAAGATAAAGACAGAAACTGTGAAAAAAACCCTTACCCTTTCAGATATAGGCCAGGGCACCTTCAGAAATTTTGCTTGTGAAAGTGAAAATATAAATGTGCACCTACTGATTTGCATGTGTATCTTAGCAATAGAGAGTGAATCTATAACATACCTACTGATTTGCATGTGTATCTTAGCAATAAAAAGTGAATCTATAAGGCAGCACAGAAAATACACTAATTTGGAGAGTATGTGCTTCAGTCTTCATGTGGTGATGTCTGGTCTGCCTTCAAACCCAGTACTGCTGGATTTGTTGAGCCTAAAGACAACACTGAGTAGTGCAGTTGTCCAAATTTCTCATTGTTGCAGTTTATAATTTGTGGCCCTCCTTCACTGCTGAAAGAAAACTGTGGCAGTGAGCTCATGTTAGCCTGAAAACGTGTAGGACACTTCACTGATGTTTGTGCCTCATCTAGCTGTCCATTGTGGGTCAGACAGATGGCATTAGAAAATAAAAATCAATTGTGCACATAAAGTGCTCATTATTGATGTATAGAAATGAAAAGGCCTTGATCTTCAGAGACAATTTCCATGATTGGAGGATTACTGTGACGTTTGACCACAAGCTAAGAAAAATCAATATAGTCATAAAAATGTAGAGAATGTTTTGCAGTGAATAAAAAGCCAGTGAGGTAGCTTCAAACCTGGAAGAAAAATTAATAGCCTCTCCATACAACACTAAATTACTAAATTCTGAATGTTGCTATAAACAGTTTGAGTTGCAAGCTGTCTAACTAAGGTAAAAAGCAGCACCAACACTATAAAATTATTGTTGGCACTTGAATTTATTTTCCCTCGTGAGTTGTCAAGTTGTCATTTAACTGTAGTACCATTTTAAAGAGATAATTCATCCTGGAACACTGTGGATTGTTATACATATTTTTTTTAATATTTAGGTTTTACAGAGCAAGTAAATCACCAACCATGGCAGCTCAGCCTCACCAAACACTTCAGGTTTTCAAACACATCTTCAGCATCTCTGCACAAGCAGGCAGGTTGTGTGTGTGTGTCTGTGGATCACTTCAGCAGAGTTAGAGGGTTTTATTAATAACAGATAAATATTTAGAGACCTACTTTAAGTACTCAAGAGAAAACACATGTTTAGGATCCTGCTTTAAGTTCTTCACAGAGATGGCTGGCTGCAGACTGCCGGCTTGCCACGATGACTGAGTACTTTCAGGCAAGCTGTCAAGTGTGAAATTGGACATGACCTATTGACTGCTCTTCAGCACCAAATTAAAAGATAATGATTAGCTTTTTAGAGTTCTCAGCAGAGGAAGTTTATTCATCTTTTACAGGGCATTTGAATCAGAGCTACACTTTTGCAGAGTGCTGATGAGCATCACCTAAAAGAACATTATAGTGCTAGATTTGCATCTTAACTCATATTGGTCTTAGCAATGGACTTGCAATTAATACCAGGCATGCCTAATGAGGCTGTGCCCTTGGCCACTGCACTGCTAATGCTGGCTCCAGAAAACATTTTTGTACACAAAATAGACATATTTATTTCCTTTTTCCCTTTTGTAAAATAAGGTATTTTTCCCTCCCCACTGCCCAACATTTCTTAATGTTTAGAGTATTTGAAAAGGGTTTCCCCAGCTTACCGTCAGTACCCAAAATGTTCTTTGAGACCAGACAGTCTGTGTGCTCTTTTATAACAGAAAATATTTCAGCCTGTTCTCCCTATTTTCCCTGCTGAGGTAATGCAGATGGGTAGCTTAAGGTCTGGATTAAAAATGGAACTTGTGTCACTGAGTCAGTTTTTGTAGGCTAGATATAAGTATCACTATCAATAAGAATGACATCTTTAGTATGTCTGACATTTAAGACAGGAATTATAATGATTTGCTCCCAAAAAGAAATACTGAATTATATGGATGGGGAAAATAGAGTAAAACCATTGTCTTTTTTAAAGACATCAGCATGACAAGTAATATTGTCTCAGGAGAATGGAAGAGAAGTGCAGAATCACAGAATATATGAGATGCTGTCTGTGAGCAGGGAGTGAGTCTGGAGTAACCAAAAGTACATCCACTGATTTTTTTTTTTAATGTCAGGATTGTGGTGTTAAGCTGTAGCAGGAGAACAGACTGCAGGAATTTCCAATGAGAGTGTTTGGGAAGATTTACCTTCTTCTGCACAGGCAAGCTGAGTGTCTGCTGCTAGTGAGATACGTGAACTAAAACATAGTCTGAAAGCTCTGTTTTATTCTGTTTTATTTCTATGAGGATGGAACTGTTCCTAAAACTCAAAAGGTGCTATTGAGGCAAAAGAGAAGATAATCTCAAAGAAGTTAAAGGTGCATAATTTTTATTTCTAGCTTTTTAAAAATGAGAATCTTTTACTGTTCATAGTTAAATTATGCTTGGAGCAGTAGCAGATTGAACAAGAGATCGATTTTCTCCTCCCTTCAGCCCCAGCAAATAAAAATTCCATGTGCAAAGCTCACACTCTATTTGCTACTGTAGCAAAATAAACTGCTTAAATGTGTCAATTTACTCTCATAGATGGAAGATGGCAGGGCTGTAATTTTTTATTGGACGTCGCAGATGTTTAGTTTTACATATTTTTGTGAAGAAAGGTATGTTTTATTTTTAATTAATAATTTAATTTGTTTCTCTCTAAAAAATGCTTAAATTGCTTATTCATATACTGATTTGCAAAAGTATGTTCATGTTTAGAAGGCTTAAAATAAATATTCCTCTATGGACATCAATATTGCAACCATAAGATTCCAGTTTCTGTTGCCTTGTTAGCACTTCTGTTTTACAGGGTGAAGATGAACCCCATTTGAAGAGAAAATGCTAAGCTAGAGCACCTTTATCCTAAAAATACCAAAGTAAGATATTATTCTATTGAATTGTGCTGTACATACAATGAAAAGGTGTTTAGCTACAAGTCTTTTGCTTGTCCCCACTCATAAGAAAAATTGTGATACAATTGTGTATGTATACAATAACATAAATATTGAAAAGGAATTTAAAATTTTGACCACAATGTTTCTCCTGTTGATGGAGAAACAAACATATGAAAGAAAGGTGAGATGTACAATTACACACATATGTTACCAATTTATCTGTGTTCAGATGACAGCCATTTAGGAAGATGCTGGTAAAGAATTTTTGTGTAAATAATTTATTTTTCAAATAGTTGTGGCCAAAAATAGTAATGCTTGCCACTTAGGCACTCTATTCACTATTTCAAATGCAGGTTCCATTGATCAGAGGAAGTGAACCAATTACAGCAATTCTATTTATTTATTGGTGACATCCATAAACAAAAAGCAAATGTCTGCACAAAATGATATGCTTTAACATGTCATTTTAATTAATATTGACATTTCCATGAGATGATTTACTCCCTCTTGAACTCCTTTATATAACCAATTTTCTCTGTGTAACAGTAATTGGACTGCCATAATTACAGCTGTGACATGGAGCTTGGAACATCCAAAAATGAGGACAAGCAAATATTCCTGTACCTGGATAAGTGACCTAAATATAAATGTACTGCTCTCACACTGTTACTGGATGATGTTCAAATGGATCACATAATGCTCTTTAAATCCTGCTACAAGTCAGGCATTCAAGTTTCCACTGATCTGATGCAGACTGAGGGTGTTTAATATCTTGTAGTGATGTTTTATCAGGATGTTAATAATAAATAATAAAAATAAAGCAGGCACAGGCAGATGATGCAGTTCTCCATCTCATAGGTGAAAGAAAATAATACCTAATAATCAATGAGCAGTTGGTCGTGTTCCCATGGCTACAATGTGAGATATGATAGTTTTCCCAGTGTTGTGTTTTTCATAATATGTTAAAGAAAGAATGCAACTTTTACAATCTTTGATACTTTTTCTCTCATACATTTTAGTGTTAATATGGCAGAATAACCATGGGAGACTGGAATTTCCTTGGAGGCATTTTAGAGGAGGTCCACATTCATTCCACTATTATTGGAAAGATTTGGCTCACTATCCTCTTCATATTTCGAATGCTTGTCCTTGGAGTGGCAACTGAGGATGTTTGGAATGATGAACAATCAGAATTTATATGCAACACTGAGCAGCCTGGTTGCAGAAATGTGTGCTATGATGAGGCCTTTCCCATCTCCCTCATAAGATACTGGGTCTTGCAAGTTATTTTTGTGTCTTCCCCTTCCTTGGTGTATATGGGGCATGCCTTATACAGACTAAGAGCCCTGGAAAAAGAAAGGCAAAAGAAGAAAGCTCAGGTAAGGGTGGAACTTGAAAGCACTGAATTAGAAATGACTGAAAATCGTAAAAGACTGGAGAGAGAGCTCCGGCAGCTGGATCAAAGGAAGCTGAACAAAGCACCCCTGAGAGGCTCTCTGCTCTGCACTTATGTGATACATATTTTCACAAGATCTGCAGTGGAAGTTGGCTTTATGATTGGGCAGTATCTTCTTTATGGTTTTCACTTAGATCCCCTTTATAAATGTCAGAGAGAGCCATGTCCAAACACAGTTGACTGCTTTGTATCTAGACCAACAGAAAAGACAGTGTTTATTTTATTTATGCAATCAATAGCAACTGTATCATTGCTTTTAAATATTCTAGAAATTATCCACTTAGGATTCCGAAAAATTAAAATGGGACTCTGTGAGCAGAATAGAACCAAAGATGACTCCGAGAGTTTCTACATAAACAAATCTAAGAAATACTCTGTGATACCACACTCTTCTTTGGGAATATCCACCACCCCTCAGAAAACACTGCCTTGTGCCCTTAGCAATTATACCTTTCTGATGGAAAAGCAAACTGACACTATGCTCTACCCAGTTTTAAATTCTCCTTCTATGTTTCAGTCTGTGCCAAATAACCGTACAGAAAGCAGCAGCAATTACACCCATTGCAATCAGGAAAAGAAATCTCCAAAGAAGAGGCCAGCTACAAATGCTTTGGACAATCAGACTCAAAATGCTAGCACAAATAATAACGAAGGCTTTCTTGGGGAGCTTTGGACTGAGACACATCATGCACAAGAAGAGGCTGAAAAGAAACATTTTCTTGTTGATACTCAGAATGCAGACATGTACTTGAGAAGCTTTGCTGAGATGCCATCTCAAACTTCAGTGCAGCCTGATACAACTTTTCCTGGTACCAGTTGTAGACGACAGGCAGTGGTTGAGAGCACAGCAGCACCAACAAATTCTCTTCCAAAGAGCAGTGACAGAAGACAAAGCAGTTTCAGTGCAAACAAAGCCCCAATTCCTTACAATGCTGATGGAAAAAACTCCAGCAGACCAGACACTTCTGATTCCATGGGGGTGGTGAGCTCAGAATCCGCACAAAGCAGAAACTGGAACAGTCCTAAGCTTTTCTCCCTGTCTAGGCAACAGTCACTGTCAAGCAATGCCAGCAGCAGGCGTGCCCCCACTGATCTTCAAATATAACATGAGCTAACTGATTACTGCACTAATCAATGCTGGGATAATTCCTGAGCACAGACACAACCCACACCTGTGTGTAAGTGCAACTAAATAATTCAACTTTAACCAGCTCTTTACATAGGTAGAAAAGTTGTGTAACTCTTTGAATAGTAGCTAAGTAATTTTAAACAGTCTCTACTTCCTTTGCAATGAAAATGTGGCATAGACTCAGTGTATAAACCTCTACACTCCAGTTAAAAAGGAAAAAATACATCTTCCCAATCCACATATTAGGAAAAAGTCAGGCATAAAATCACAGGTGATACTATTTAAACTGAATAAAAGTAGAAGACAAAATTTGCAGGCTAAGGATATTTTTTACAAGGATCAGTAAATCAAATTAGGCTAAAGATGCTCTCAGAGGAATGTATTGGTAAACATGTCTCTGCCTAATCAGTCTGAGAATTCAAACAGACATTTGGTAGCTGACCAAAAGCAGAATGTCAAACTTATTCCACTGTTCAAACTGTTGTAAATACAAAGAGAAAAAGCATTTACAAGACAGATAATGAATTCTTTGGCTCCATGGTACACTTTTTTTTCCAGTGTATCGCCAGTGACTTCCTCAGCAGAAAAATCAAAGTGAATTCGTTATGGTATACTATCAGAATTCAATATATCACTATTTTTTTAAAACATCATGAGTTACAGACATGTTGTGAGCTTTACTTTTGCCATTTTTTATAACGCTAATAAGATAGCAAAACCAGAAACCAAGTTACTGAAATTTACTAATCAGATATTTTGAATTTCACAAACTAGAAGGCTTACTATGGAAAACAGAAAAAAACCCCAAAACCAAAGACAGAGAAGTAAAAAAAGCAAATATGGTAATACCTCCTGATTTCAGTTACAATGTCAAAAGATATATAAAAGGTTTATCAAACAGTAAAACTACTCCTTTTCTGTTTGTCTGTCCCCCTAATTCTGATAAAATCTTAAACAAAGCTTCTACCTGTTTAGGAGGAGCATTTGTATTTATGCTTTTTATAGGGATAACAAAACATTAGGACATTTATCCACTTGCTGTTCAGGCCCATATGGTGTAAAGGAAGTTCCATGAAACACCTTGAAATACCAAAGGAGGCAAAGATAAACAAAATACTATGGTACAATTTTAATCAAACTTTCTATGTATGAGATACATTTATTTGAGTTGCACAGCACTGAAACACTGTAAATACTTGCTGAGGTGGTCCCAGCTGGAATGCATTGGTGTTTTTATGTGTATTTTTTACTGGCAGATTTGACATATTGTTCATGTACTGAAAACAATAATTTGTGAGATATAGCATAATGATGTTACAGCACAATTAAATTCTTGAAGTGCACTGTCATTATGCTTACCAGACAGCCATGATTCACTGAAAACTTTACAATACTGGCAAAAAAGGAGCCAGAAAACCTAAAAAGCTCTTTTGCTTGTAGCAGTAACATTAATTTGGACCCGTCCACATAAGAAATACACACAAGAACTATTAAAACTATTCATTGTAGATTTCTCTCCAGTATTTCTCTCCTTTTCATTTCTATGTGTATACATAAATACAGCCCTGCATAATTGTGTTTACACTGTAAAATTGAAGGTTGTCTAATATACTGGAATGCACATTACTGTATAGTGTGACTTAGGCAAGTTAATGCTGCTGCTGTGCTTTAATTCTTGCATTTCTTGATGCATAAAATTCTGTGAACAATAACTGCTCATGCTTGATTTGTATTTAATCTCTCCATAATAAAAAGCCTCATATTTAATGCACTCTGTTCCTGTTGTCTAATTAATAGAAAGCATTTAGATGTTCATGTATGGGACATGACATTTGTGGTTTTTTTTGTTCAAGACAAGTCAAAAAATAGTATTTATGCTGCTGTGAGAGAAATTTTATTAGCTTTTTTTATGTCTGGACATGAGTCAAACATTCTTTTAAACAGAGCACCTTCCCAAATGAAGAGTAACTACTGAAAAATAAAACCATTGCAGAGGAGCATGGAGAAAAAGTGTGAAAACTAACATCGTATGTGCAAGATCATTTGGTTGGTCTTTTTAAATTATTATTTTATTTCTACAATAAATAGATTTTATCTGTCAGCGTTTCAGAAAAATAATCAGGTATAACTGCTTCTGGTTTTTTTCTTTTTTTATTTTTTTTTAAACAGGCTAAGGCAAAACACTTTCGAGGTGAAGATTTCAGAGCCTCTTGGGTAGGCAACTCTGCAGCTGCTGCTCGCTGCAACTTCTCCTGTAATTTCAGTCAGCTGCAGCTACTGACATTTATTAATCAGACTCTTTGAATTTCAAAAACCACAAACCAGAGTGTTTACTATGGAAAACAGAAAAACTCCAGCGACCCTCAGGACAGCTCGGAGACGCTCGGGCCCGGTCACGGCCGGACCATTGCCGCTGCCACCGCTCGCCTTCTCCGCGGGGCGCTCCGGGACCGCGTGTGGCGGCGTCCCGGCCAGCGCAGCCCTCGAAGGCTGAGCTCAGCAAGGAACCGTCCCCGGCGAGGAGAGCAGGGCACAGCGGGACGGGGGCCAGAGCCCCGCAAGAAAGGGGGCACAGCGCCGGCACAGCTTCCCCCTGGGCGGCGAGCGAGCCGGCGAGGCCGCCCCGAGGGGAACGAGGGCGCCCCGAAAGGGAACGAGGCCGGCCCGAGAGGGGCGAGGTCGCCCTGAGGGGACCCAGAGCGTCCTGAGGGGAGCGAGGCCGCCCCGAGAACGAGGCCGCCCCGAGGGGACCGAGAGCGCCCTAAGAGGAGCGAGGCCGCCCCGAAAGGGAGCGAGGCCGCCCCGAGGGGAGCGAGGCAGCCCCGAAAGGGAGCGAGGCCGCCCCGAGGGGAACGAGAGCGGCGCGCGGGGCGCGGCCCCGGCCGTTGCCGCGGCGCCGTCGCCGTGGTAACCGCAGGGAAGCGCTCGCGCCGTTAAAGCGCAGGGCGCAGGCGCGCGGCCGGGGCAGGCGCTGTGCGGGTCAGATGGCGCACAACAAGGTAGGGGGGAGCGCGCCGGCGTGGGCGCGGTGCCGCTCTCCGTGCCGGCTGCGCGGAGCGGCGGGCCGCCGACCGACACCGGCTCGGCCCTTCGTGCCGCCTCCGCGGCGGAGAGCGGGACCGGCCTGTGCCAAAGGGCCGCCTCCGCAGTCGAGGCGGGGCGCGCCGCCGAACTGACCGTGTGGGCGTCCTCCCTCAGGCCGCGGACTCCAAGCGGGAGCAGTTCCGCCAGTACTTGGAGAAGTCGGGAGTGCTGGACATGCTCACCAAGGGTAAGTGTCCGGCTCGCGTCGTGCCGCCCCGGGGCCGGCGGGCGCTCTTCGGGGGCGTTGCGGGCGGGTGCGGTTCCTCTCACGGTGTCCCGCTCCCGCGGAGCAGCTGCCGCCCCGCACGGCGGTGCCGCGGCCGTCCCTCGGGCTGCCTTGCCGCTCTCCATTGGCTTCCCGCCTCGCCTCGCCGATCGCTTTTTCTCCTCAGTCCGGCGAGGCGGCCGGCAGAAGAACTCTCCTGGAAAACTTGGTGCGGCGTGGCCTGGAAATGGAGCCCGAGGTGCGCGGCGGGGCGGAGCACGGCGGGAGAGGGCAGCGGGCCGCCGGAGCGGCGCCCCGGGGCTGCGGAGCGCTCCGGCCCCGCGCCTCACTCTCCGTGTGGGGGGCAGTGCCGGAGGTGCGTGCGGAACGGCGAGGCGGGTCCCTTACCCGCGCCGGGTGTGGCGGAGACATCTCTGCTTCGGCCAAAGTGCTATTTTCAATGCCTGCTTTTGGTTAGTTAGTTTATTTTCTTTCAATGGGTGCTTTTCGTGAAGTTTTTCTACAGAGGAAGTTAGTGCTTGCGATGAAATAACAGCAAATGTTCTCTTAGAAAAACTTGGTTTCATACCCTTTATTGAATGGAACTTACTTTCATTCATTCTAGAAAAAAGCACTAAGTTCTGGATTAATGACTCCATATCAAACTGAGGATACGATAATGCTAAACTTGACACATGTGACTTGCTATCTTTGAAATCCTTTTAAAATCTTTTTGAGAACCTTCCAATAGTATGTAGCAAAAATGTGTTAATATTGAAAAAAATTAATATTCTGCTAATATTGCAAATATGCTGTTTAAAGAGGGAGCAGCAGATCTAGGAAGTCAAGCGAATAGCTGCTGCACTAAGACTCTTGGCCTGGTGTGTGAGTACCATTTGATTTTTCAATCGCAGTACCATCCTGTGGGATGCAAAACAAGTCTCCCAAGCAGCCTAATTTTGCTTTTAAAAGTAAAAGGAGTTAGGAGTAAGTAACTTACCTAAGTAACTTAGGAGTTACTTAGCTGAAAACCAGTTTGGCTGTGTAGTGCAGACATCTGAAACTGGCACGTGGCCCCTGTGGGGAGCAGGGAGTGCTGATGTTTGGGAACTTCCTGGGTATTCATGTGACAGTCTCCTATTATGTTGTTATGTACGTGGCTATTTTTATTTAAATTGTCGGGGTATTGCTGCTTTTGTCCGGCGGTATTGGCCATTAGAGCCCCCATCCTTAAAGATTATCAGTGTCAGCCATTTAGTAGCTATTTAGTTTTGTAACTGGATGCTCCATGGAGGTTTGCTGTTCTGCTGCAAGTTACAAAATGCCGATGTCTTGTGGTTGAAAGATGTAGCTTAAGTAGAATTTTAATGAACGCTATAGTTAGAATTTCAGGCTGACTGGCAAAAGCTAATACTAGGGTGCATATGGCATATGTAAAATTTTTCAGGTTGTTTTGTGTTCTGTGCTAGAATAACCAAAGACTATGTGGGGTTAGGGATCAAGAAAACTCTTCAGTGTTGTCAGGTACAATGTTCTGTCCCCTCTCACACAGCAGACCTGTTGCTGATGTCAAAGTGTACAGGAGAAAATCCTGATAAATGGAAAAATGCAACATGTATGCTTTCTTACTGCTGGTATGTGTTTTAAAAACTTAGAGCTGCATGAACTTCTTGCAATTGTTGAATATTTTCTATTTGCAGTGTTGGTAGCCTTATATGAAGAGCCAGAGAAACCAGATAGTGCACTGGAGTATCCTTTTTCCTTGCTGTGACTTATTTATTGAGGCTTCATGCACAGTACTGCTTCTGACTCATGGGTGGACTGACATTGCACTGAGAACGTGACTTTATCAATGCATTTTACCTAATAATTACATTTTCTCAAGCTATCAGAGTCTGACAGATGCAGGGGAGCTGGGTATTTCAGAATGCCAGCAGTTATGGAGCTAAGTTAGAGCCATTTCAGTGTTGGGGACCTGCAGCGTTAGGTTTGAGCACCTGCAGTGCCAGTGGGTTCTGAAGTTTGCTTCTTCACACTTCCTTTTTATTGTTTTTTGTTTGTTTGTTTTTAAATACATGAAGAAAAGGGGAACTAGCATATTTTGTTTCTTGCTGTTTTTAAGCAGCCTCCATTTTTTGTTAAATTGCTTTTTTGTTATTTCTTTTAGTTCTTCAAAACATCTGCCATTAAGAAAAGAAAAGAAGGGGGTAGTAACCCATAAGAATTTGTACTGATACCTTGTTTTTGTTTGTTTTTAAGGAATATGAATTTGAAAAGCTCTTTTATTTTGGTAACTTTTTTCCTGTAATAACCTCAGTGGTTTACTGCAATTTTGGCCATGTGTACTGCAGTGTTAACTTCAACACGGGTGTTAAAACTAAAATGTAGTTATACAAGTGAAGAAATACTTAACATCTAAATATCAGTTTTCTGAAGCATCATCTGGGAGCTTCAGCTCCTGAGAATCCGGAACTAGAAGCACTTCGCTTGGAAGTGGCAGAGATGAAAGAAAAATATGAAGCTGTGCTGGAAGAAAATAAAAACCTGAAAACCAAGGTAAAAGTCTACTTGGTGTTACTCTGTAGTTCCATCTTATACAACAAGAAAAATATTTTAATGACTTAAATATAGCTAACTTTTTTCCATTAGAGTAACTGATAGATGTTGTTGCATTGTTTAGCCTCATTACTGAGAAATGCTGATAGAATTCATTTTAGTAAAGATTTATTATTTTTTATGGAACACTTCTTATAGAACATAACAGAAAATATTGCTAAACAAGGGATTTTACTTATTTAGGGGAAGTGTATCATGTCCAATACGTTGTATTGAGTCTTTTCAGGATGTGTTTAAGGTATCTGATATTATGTAGATCATGCTTTCAGGACAGTTTTGAAAAACAAGTATCCAGTATAAAGCCTTTCAAAAGGCAGCCTGAAGGAGGAATATTATGTATTACTTTGTGTCACTTGGCACAGACTTCCGCATGGCAGGATCTTGCGCAGGCACTTAGATCCGAGTGGAACAATAATTTGTGCCTTTTACTTAAAGTGACCTTGGTATTTATGTGAAACAACAACGAATCTGAAGTGCTAGCTGGGGCAGGGCTGTTCTTTCATGGGTGTGCAGGCTGGCTGGGAGAGCTCTGAGATGTGAACAGCTTTCTAACACTGAAGAAGGAAACCTGTGAGATGCTTAATATGCTGGTAGCTTATGTGCCACTACAGGTTCCCATGCATTTGTTAAAAGAGGATGGTGGCTGTTATATGTGAATACCCCTGGGAGACAACCCACCTTGTTTTAGTTCTGTGAGAAAGGATTCTTGGCCATGACCCCTTTGTATTTCTTGTCCAGAGTGCCATCTTGCTGTCCTAGCAATTGTCCTTCTTCCCCGTTACCTGTTATGAGTCCTCAGCTACATTTGTTATTTCTTACTAGGAAATAAGGCAAAGAACAGTTTTAGGCAGAGTAGCAGTAGACCAGCCACTTGTTTTAGCAGACTTGAAAATACAGCTGATAATAAAAAGACATAAGAGCAGAGTAATCTGGGTCTTTGTTTAAAGAAGTATTTTCAAGAAGTCAAAACTTGTTGCAGGAAAGTAAGCCTTTTGGAATAATGTCCTAGAACTCCTCCTTCTTTACATATTTTCCAGTATTAGTGTGTTTTGTTTTTTCCTGTCCTTTCCTCTACAATGTCATGCCCATCATTCTGACATACTGTAAAGTTCACATAGCAGGGAGAACACTACATTCTATTGTAGCAGGCCTCTAACATAAAATACATGTCTTTTTCTGTGCTTTTATTGGTAATTACTATCACACAAATGTCAGATATTCATGTGTGTTGGGAGGAGGACA